ACAGAGGAAGAATTTCCCCCCCCCCCCCCCCCCCCCCCCCCTCCCCCAGCAGCAGGGGCGGATGGGATAGTAAACGAATTCATGAAGTTTGGGGGGAAGGGGATGATCCAGCTGATGGTACTGCTGTACAACTGGATGTGGAAAAACGAGTATGCGCCAAGTAGATGGAGGGAACGAGTGGTTGTGAACTTGTTCAAGAAAGGAGACAAGACTGACCCAGGGAACTACAGGGGTATCACACTGTTGAACACAGTAGGAAAAGTGTTCTGTAAGCTGCTGAACGATAGGATAGTGGGAGTATTGGAGAAGGAACGTAGCATTGGTGAGGGCCAGGCAGGTTTCCGACAGAAGAGAGGGTGCGTAGACCACGCATTCACGGTAGGGAGAATCATCCAAAGTAGAAAGAGGGCGGGAAAGCCGACGTACTGCTTCTTCCTGAACGTGAAAAAGGCATACGATACGGTATGGAGAAATGGGCTGTGGAAACAATTGTCCAAGTACGGGACCAAGGGGAAAATGTGGAGGGTGCTGAAGAAGATGACAGAGTGTACGAAAAGCGCGGTCATGCTAGACGGAGAACTGTCTAAATTCTTCGACATTGAGCAAGGGGTCCCACAGGGTTGCACGCTGTCCCCAACATTGTTCCAGGTGTTCATCACCGACCTGTTGGAAGCCGTAGAGGCAGTCCGGAAGGGAGTAAAAGTAGGGGACACGGAAACTTCGGTGTCAGGAATGCTGTTTGATTTTATTGGTATGTCGGACACCCCTAAGGGACTGCAACTGCAAATTGACGCGGCGAAGAAGTTTACTGATAAGTGAAGATTGTCTGCCAACGTTAAGAAGAGTGCCCCCATGGTTTGCAACGAGGGCAGGGAGGAACCAGTAGAACATAGATGGAAGTGGGGGATCGAGGAGATTGCATTGTTAATAATAGTGGACCAGTACACATACCTCGGAGTAGAGATCGCAAAAGACTGCTCGTGGAATGTACACATGTCCAAGGTAGCGGAAAAGGGGCAAAGCACGAGCAGGGAAGCTGCACCCAATACTCGCAAACCGGCATCTCGATACACGCATCAAATTGGCGGTTTTGAAGAGCGTAATCGTACCGCCGCTAGAGTACGCCGGAGAAGTATAGGCAGGAAACAAGAAGGTAGTGAAAGAACTCGAGGCGGCGCAGATGAAAGCAGCGAAAATCATCCTAGGATGCTCCAAGCGCACAAGTAATGCAGCCGTCAGGGCAGAATTGGGGATCCAATCCCTACGGTCGGGAAGAGACGCAAGGAAGCTGACATGGCAGTACCGCATGTGCGGGATGGGAGAGGAGAGGTTGCCGAGAATAGTATGGGAGGCGAAGTGGGCAAACAAAAAGAGGGGTAGACAACCCACGGAATGGGTCAAGGTTGTAGAGGACGAATGGACGGAGGGTCTACAGGGGTTCAAGGAGAAGATATCTGTTGCTTGTGCCGAGAGAGGAGAACATAATCTAAGGAGAGAAACCGAGGATAAGGAGGGTCTAGAAGTGTACGGAATGTTGAAAGAAGGAATAGGGTTCAAGGATTACCTACATGGACCAATGGATGCAGGGACCAAAGCTTAAGGTCAAATTCAGGACCGGGGACATAGGCCTTCGAGAACGTCGACGAAGACATAGGGCGGTAGACGACGAAGACGACAAGTTCAAATGTGATTGCGACTTCGAGTGCGAAGACCGTGTTCATGTCGTCGCGGAATGTCGGCTGTACAATACGGAGAGAGGGAAGTGTACATGACTGAGCTGGGAATAATGCAAGGGACGTACAGGGAGATGTTTGAGGCATGGAAGGAGAGGACGGTAGCGGTACTGGGGAGTAGGAAGTGGTTTGAAAAGGCGGGAAGGGACATCGTTAGGATAGACAAACTAGGGAAGACATTTTTGAGCCACCTTTGGCAAAGTAGGAAGGAACGATTGGCCATCGGTGATCGGTCCTGTGGGAACAATGCTCCGTCCTCTCGAGGACGCGTGGTCAGTGGTCTAACCGCTATGTAAGGCACGCAAAACACAAGAGTACCCCCCCCCCCCGCCCCCCCCCCCCCGGCCCGGGCGACTTTTG